GGGGTGGGGGGGGAACAAAACGTGCCCTCCCCCCCCCCCCAAAGGAAAAATTTTTTTTTTGGGTTCCTTTCCCTTTTAAAAAAAAATCCCCCCCGCAAAAAGTTTGGGAAAAAAAGGGCCCCCGGAAATTTTAAAAAGGGGGGGTTTTTTTTTTTTTTTTTTTCCCCCCCCCCCCCCCCCCCCCCCCGCGCATTGGCGCTCAAACGTGTGTGTCGCCTGCACATTATTGCCTGCCGAACCTCGACCGTTTTTGAAGAGCAAGCAAACCCTCTTCGCCGGCCTGCCCACCCTACTTGTTCCACCCCTGACAAAAGTTGCACACACGCATACATACCTCGAGCTGTTCCACGTGCATCGCGGAGACGCCAAACCTCAGTGTAGCATTCTGCTTGACGTGGAAGCGAACACCCTCCAAGTACAGGACCGGTTTCTCGGAGAGGATGATCAATTCGTCGGTGATCTCGAGCAGCTGCAAAAAATGTAGTGGTTGCGGTTTGTGTTTTTTAGGTTGAAGGTGTGTCAGTGAGAGGGTACAGAGTAGCCAATGGCGAAAACGACAGAGCTGTGTGAATAGGAGGCTATCATATTTTTGCTTGTCCCACGAGACTTTGTATCATTAGAAATGTAGAGACACAGAGAGAGAGAGAGAGGGAGAGAGAGGCTTTGAAATAGAACGTGAGCGGAAGAGGGAGAGAGAGGTGGCAGGCACGACAATGAAGGATCCGTTTTTCGATTTCCTTCACACCTTAACACAAACAAAAGCGTGAAACTCCCTCACCCTTTCCTCCTGGCAAACGACGTCGCCCGTGATGAGCAGGACTCCTTCGAGTCGCGTCCCGTTGGAGCGGAGCTCGTCGCAAGAGTGGATTTTCTGGCTCGGGGATTTCTCGATCTCGGTACGGGTAGGAGGCGGGAGGTGGGTAGGACGCAGGAGGCGCCTACTGTTGACCTTGGTGTCGGTGTCGTCGTTGTCCGGTTTGATGCCGCTGTCGGGGGCGGCGTGAGGGTTGGTGCCGCTGTCATCGCCATCGAGGTTGATGCCGCTGTCGGGGGCGGCGTGAGGGTTGGTGCCGGTGTCGAGGGCGCCGTGAGGGTCGATGCCGGTGTCGGGGGCGGCGTGAGGGTTGGCGTCACTGTCATTGCCGTCGAGGTTGATGCCGGTGTCGAGGGCGGCGTGAGGATTGGTGCCGCTGTCATCGCGGTCGAGGTTGATGCCGCTGTCGGGGGCAGCGTGAGGGTTGATGCCGGTGTCGAGGGCGCCGTGAGGGTCGATGCCGGTGTCGGGGGCGCCGTGAGGGTCGATGCCGGTGTCGGGGGCGGCGTGAGGGTCGATGCCGGTGTCGGGGGCGGCGTGAGGGTTGGTGTCGCTGTCATTGCCGTCGAGGTTGATGCCGCTGTCGAGGACGGCGTGAGGATTGGTGTCGCTGTCATCGCCGTCGAAGTCGATGCTGCTGTCGGGAGTGCCTTTCCAGGTTGGCGGTGTTGTCGTCCCCGGTTATCGAAGCAACGGGCTCGGTGGAAGGGATGGGGGCGGGGGAAGGGTACATCTGGTGCGCGTCGTGGTCGGGCGTCGAAACGACCGTCATGCTGGTGGCCGTGTAGCGGACAGCGGCTTCGAAATCCAATTTTGCGCCCTCGTCCGCGCGCACCAGAGAGTGCGCGTCCTCCTGTTGGTGGCCAAAAGGACGGGGGGGGGGGAGGGGGGGGGGCAGGGACCCTGACAGACGGATAGGGGGACAAGAAGACGGACCGGCAGACAGAGGAAGAGAGACACAACGAGAGAAGGAGGCCAGTGAGGTCTAGTCAGGGGATGACCAAGAGCGCCAATAACGATAGCAAGACGGGTTACATAGCCGGGCAGAGAGAGACGGGGGAGGGCGGGGAGAGGTAGGGAGAAACGGAGCGGACAAGAAGCGCCCATTGGTGCCTCAACCTCTCGAGGGGGTAGAAAATATGTTATTCCGCTCAGTCCCAACACTGCGCTCCCAGCATTTGTTGGCTGTATAACCAAAGAGCTTGTCCATTCCCAACCGTCACGGTGAATGGATTTGGTGCACCTTGTCTCCTGGCGTTTAAGGTTGCCCAACGCCCTTGGGTCGAGGGCAAACCACCTTGAGGCCCAACATGCTCAAGAGTGGGACACGAAAACATGATTTACTGCACGTTGGCCCCACGGTCATGGGAGGCTTTATTCTATTCGGGTGGTATACTTCAGCTGGCCTGCTGTCACTGCTGCGTCTTCACCGATTCCAACAATCGGATGTCGAAAAACGAGAAGTGGCAATAGAAACAACAACAACAACAACAACAACAACAACAACAACAACAACAACAACAACAACAACAACAACAACAGCAAGAACATCATTCTCACGTCGGTGCCATCGTCTGGGAAAGGAATATACTCGTCAGCAGCGAGCCCCAGGAAGCCTTGCCGCTCGACCGTGAATATCCCCTCAGACTGTCCCTGCCAGGCAGACATAAAAAAAAACCGACGGCATCACAAACATCAGTGTGTCGAAATATCGACAAAGGCATTAGCAGCAGCGATGCCATCGTTCCCGAGAGGCCGTCTTTTTCTTCGTAGCAGAGTTACGGCGGTTCAGTGCACTGCGTTTGGACTGCCGTTCACCGTTTTCGGCGGACAGGACACAACCGGAGATATCACCTGCTAGCGCAGAGAACTTAAAATCTTGGAGTTGAAGAACAATACCCTGAGATTGGTCTACGGGACCGCTGTGTATACTTTCTCTCTAGCCGCAAGAGTGTGAGTCTCGGGAAGTCGGGTGGCACTTGGAGTGGTCTCGAAATCCGAAGTTTTCGTGCATCAACAACTTGTTTGCAAATTAAAATTCAGCGTTTTGAAGACAGAAACCAACGCTGTATGTTCCCCTCAATCCCAGGAGAACGGCATCAACAGCTTCGTGAGATTGATTCTATACAGGATAACGACTGTTGTTATCAACTCTTGGTTTCGCGACGGGGCACCTGCCTCCATTACTCCTACGTTACCATTTCTTTCTTATGGTACCGATACCGTTGGCCCGGGTGGTGTGCGGAAGGGGGCGGATTTCTGCATTTCGCGCAAGCTGCTGTTGCGTAACAAGCGAACAGGGAATATTCTTTGACGGGGGAGTCCCAGACAAAGGGGAAAGACGAAACTTCGTTTCGTTCCACATCTTCGAAACCCCAAACAACGTGTCCAACTACCGTATTATCCTCTGAATTGTCCCCGGGGGGGCATCTATCTTTTTTGCCCACAACGATATCCCCGGGGCCATCTCTACGGTAGGGGGGACATCTTCAAAAAACAAAAAGAAACACCCCGGGGACAAATTGCCCCGGGGAGGTCTACCGAAAACACACACACACACGCTTCGTTTTCACCCGCGCTGAGACTGACGTCTTTTCATTGGTCAGCCGGTTAGCGCGGTCGATGCTAAAAAAAAACAAAAAACACACACACACACACACAACACACCATCCCCTCACACACACAACTACCTCACCTCAGCAGCTCAACGATGTCTGGTCTAAACACCACCTACGAACAACAAGAACTCTGGTTCGGTTGCACCTATTTCGAAGATGTACCATCATGCGACATTATTGCTAAACGCGCGGACGGAGCCCGTGAACCTCGGACCTTATTCCGACGACATTCGACAAGACACACCAACCGATTTTCATGCACTCGTCCCCCGGGGACGCGTTTTTTGTTCGCAGAAGAAGATGTACCCGGGGATATCTCTACGTTAGGGGGGAGATCTTCAACAAAAACAAAAAAAATGTCCCCGGGATAATTCAGCGTTTGTTTGCCCATTTCGGCCAAATTGGGGGGGGGGGGGGGGGGGGGGGGGGGGGACCCAAACCCGGGGGGGCGGAAACCTTTTGACCTTTGCCCCCCCCCCCCCAAAAAGCGGGGGGGGGGCCCCCGGGGTTTCCCCCGGACCGGGGCTTAAATTGGGGGGGGGGGGGGGAAATTTGGGGGGGGGGGGAAATTTAAAGGGGATTAAGGGGGGCCCCCCCCCCCCGGGGGGGGGGGAAAGGGCAAAAAAAAGGGGCCCCACCGGGGGGTTTCCCCCCAAAATTTTGGGGGGGGGGGGGGCCCTGGTTCCCCCCCCCCGGGAAAATAAAAAAAAGGGGAAAACCCCCCCCCTTTGCCCCCCCCCCCAAAACCCCCCCCCGGGTTTTTGGCCCCCCCCCCCCGGGGGGGGGGTGG